GCAGAAAGTTTGAGAAAAAACTTTCTTCGAGTTGATCCTCCGTTTTTTTTTTTTTTTCTCTTCTTCTTTTTATCCTCTCCCCTTTCTTTTTCCTGTCGCATTGTATAACCCCTTGCGTTTGAAAGTTATTACCAGTCATTTCGTTGCGAAAGAGCTTGACCGATTAGATCCGATAATCCTGGAAGGGATGGAAATTATTCGCACGAATTCGCGAGAGATTCTTAAACTTGTGCAATTGTGATTTTCGTTTTTTCTTTTTTTTTTTTTTCTCTTCTTCTTTTTATCCTCTCCCCTTTCTTTTTCCTGTCGCATTGTATAACCCCTTGCGTTTGAAAGTTATTACCAGTCATTTCGTTGCGACAGAGCTTGACCGATTAGATCCGATAACCCTGGAAGGGATGGAAATTATTCGCACGAATTCGCGAGGGATTCTTAAACTTGGGCAATTGTGATTTTCGTTTTTTTTTTTTTTTTCTTTTATATTAATCTTATTATTTATTTGAAATTGTAACGAGACGAACGAAATAATTTAAATGATTTTAATTTTAAATGAAATTTATTAATTTTAAATAATTTTCATGCATGCAACGGCAAGCATTTTTGTTTTATACGTTCGGTTTTTATGCAAATTTCGCGCGTGGAATTAATTTTCAACTTTGATATTTTGCGACAAGGCAAAGGGTAACCTTCTTTTGTTTCACGAGATTGTTAAATATATCGATGGAATTTTTTGATTAAACCGATTAAATACGGTTGTGGTGAAAAATTAATTTACGTCGATAGCGATATCGGGGAAAAAGAATTTTAAATATGCACATGTATAGGCATAGATAAGATGGATAATGGCATAAAATTTATAAAATATTTGCAAATTTTAATCTAATTCGGAGTGATCGTACAATGAGAGAAATCATTGATTACGCAAGGGGTTATTTATTCGTTCTATCTCCTTCATACAAATTTTTAACTCCCTTTAAACTCTCTATAACCTTCTACAATTTCATCTTTAAAAATATACGACTTCGGTATATTTTTTTATTAATCTTGTTGAAAGTAAAGGATTAATTCATTAACATTCGCACAGCCATCGTCAAAAAGTGGAATTCATATTTTTTTAAAGCTTCGAAAAGCGAATAAAAAATAATTTCTAAATTCTAGATTTCTGAAAAATGAAAATGAATATAATCAGGCCGTGCAAGTGTTAATATGTTTACAAAAATTAACAAAAAAAAAAAGGAAAACGCATTACCTTTTTAACAATTAAAAAAAGTAAATACAAATCCATTCACAGTAGACAGCGACGAAAATGTTATAAATATCTATGTATCAACTATAGAAAATCGTGAAAATCGTGAATTATTCTAGAACATAGGGTGTTCAATTTGCACGCTTTGATCGTCAAATCCTCGATCGAATTCAATCGATTACACCGCGAGCCAGTTTCATCTTTCCGATAACTGCGTATTTGCGGGGGGCAAATTGGACCGCGATGACCGATTTTCACGATTAGTCGAATTTAACGCTTTAAATGTCAAACGTGGGAGGGAGGGGGAAGGGGGTGGGGAGGACGAACACGAATTCCCGGAACACACACCCTCGTTGCACACGGATATTTCCGTATGGCCGTATGCGTCATAACACGTCATCGATGTGTTATTACCAGGCTGAAAGATTGTAGTGCAGAGAGTTTCCAGTGTGCAAATCCTTTTCTCCCCCTCCCCATCGTTTTTTTCCACAGTTTGTGAAATGTGACGTGCATCGACCTGTTGTTAATTTAAGTTTTCTTTGGAAAAAAAAAAAATAACCATTTATATTTAAAATAACCCCGATATTAACACGATTTGTCTCGTTTTTTTTTGCAGTTTGACGTGTGTCTTTTTTCTTTTGTTTGTTTGTTTTTGTTTTTTTTTTCTTTAGTTTATTAACTAAGATTAAATTTTAGATTAATTTGTGGAGCTTCTTTCTTCTTGCATGGGAGAAAGCGCGTGAAAGAGTTATTCTATAAATAGATAAATGGGATTAATTTAAAAAATAGTTTTAATTTTTTTAATATGTAAGGAAATGATATATCTAAAATTTAGGCAAGTTTTTAATTATTTGTAAGACGAATTTTCTCCTCTTTTCAATTAATATTTTGTTTAATTTTAATTTTTGCAAAGATTTTGAGCTTTTAAATATGTTATGAGATAATTTGATATCTCTTGGATTTTTTTGTTTTTTTCTTTCACTTTTGTTTTTTGCAACGAAAGATTTCGATGACTTTTTCACGATTAGAAAGAAGCTCTGGTGATTTACGAAGGGGTTGAACCGTAAAGAATTTCGCACTCGTAGGATGAATTCGAGCAAAATTTGTTGTAACATATAATGAATAAAAATTGTAGAAAATAATATCCAATTTTATATTTGACGTAAACTGTGTTATATAAAATTAAACTTTATCGTATAAAGATATTCTTTTCTTTTTTAAAATTATAGCAAAATCTTGCAATCTTCTGCTAAAAATCAATAATAAATTATCAACAACATCGATTATTAATTTCGCCAAGAATCTAGGAAATAGAGAAAATAAAAGGAATTCGCGAAAATTTCGAAATTCCTCGGTTCACCCCCGGTTCGTTCAACCCCCGGATCGAAACGTTGCACAGGGAAGAAAACAGATCTCTCTCCGATATTCCCAACTTTCGTTTCGAAGCCCGCCGAGACGAAAGTTGTTTTAATTCGGGTACATGATGAACGTATCAGCGGCGGGGAGTAGGGGCGGGGAAAAACCTGGGTGCAATTTCCTCGATAGAAAGTCCGAATTCGGGCGAACGAAAGACAATTAAAAAGCGAGCCACGGCCAACAAGCGCGCGCACACGTGGATATATTTTATGTCGTCGCGCGGTTATTCCTGGCCCGCGTGGAAATTGCAATTTTCTCGGTCGGATTACGTTTCGAACCGGGCCAGGGCCACCACCCCCCTCTCCTCTCCCTTTTCCTCTTCCTCTCGAGGTTTTTCGCCCGTTTTAACTCTTCGCTCGCAGGAAATCGCAATAATTGATTCGAAGGATTCCAAAAAATCCTTTGTATCGGGTGTCGCTATTGTTTCGCGTTAATTTTTCACGCATCGATCGAAAATACTTCTCGACGGTGAAAAAGAAGTTTTTGGTCATTGTTCGTAGAAGAGACGGAGCTATGATTTTCCTGAAATAATGGGGACTATTGTTTAGACTATTCAACAACATAGACAGCAATTTGTTCAATTTTTTTTTTCTCTCTCTCTCTTGATCGAATTACGAACGAATGGATTAATCTCGAAAGGGAAAATAAGAAAAATTTTTGAAAAATCGATCGTGAGGGATAGATTGAAATTAACATTATGATTTGGAATTCGGTTATTTAGATGTATAACGTGGAAATATAAAATATAAAATGAAACGGTAAACTTCATTTAAACTCGGGAAAATATCAGTTTCGTTGGAAATACGTTTTCGTTCATTAACGAGACGATCGATCGAATGGCAAATTGTTTCGTTTGAACCGAGGAGTTCATTTAACAATTTTGTTATTTCTTCTATTTTGTTGAAAATAAATTATTTTCTCTGCAACGTTTGCGAGAGGAGGGGAGAATATGTATATGTATATATAAAGCAGGGGTTGAAATCTTTCTTTACGTCAATTGTCACATTATGAATGATTCTTCGAAAGAAATATAATAAAAAATGTTAGTTTTTACAAAGTGAGATAATTTTCTTCTCGAAGCTTTTTTCTTAAGAAAATTTTTGAGAACAAAATTTCCTTCCAGTTAAATATCTACTAATACTCATAATTTCTCTCGCGTTCCAATCATCCCCCTCATAGAAATAAATCCACCCTTCGCAAATAAACAAATTTCAACCTCTGACTTGAAAAATGTGTTTCGTTGTTTTGAATAAAATTTATTGCATACACTTTACCGGCATGCTTCACCTATCGGTGAAAGAATCTTTTACTCTTTGATAATGCTGAACGCATATGATGACAGTGTTTCGGGTGTCTGTTGCAGTACGGCAGTCCCGGCTCGGGGTGGCGACATCTTAACGCGAAGTGGCGTTCGCCTAGGTATTATTTGTACATATATTATATATTTATTTACCATATATTATACATACGTACATATATATACATCTAAGATCTATATATATATATATAAAGAAGAAAAAAAAAAAAACACCTTATTTCACGTATTATTCACTCGCGTAAATTGATACTTCTCGCATCGTTGTTTCGTTAACAAGTCGATCGACAAGCTTCTCTCTCTTCTTTTTTTTTCTTTTTCTCTTTTTCCATTTTCCATCATTTTGTGTATCGATATATTATTATGCCACTGTCAAAAAATAATGTGTCGAAGAATAAAACCGTTGTCCGTTCCCCGGCGTATTGTTTCAATTCCAATTTACAACCGTTGTAGATGGGCGCACAAAGGTTTTCAATTTAAATTTCGGCCAACAAACGATCGACGATAATGAACCGATCGAGTGTTGGTTTCTTGTTTTTTCTTTCTTTCCATCCTTTTTTTTTTTTTTTTTTTTTTTTTTCCAATTTTCTTCGCTTCACGCGTCGATACCTCCGCCCCTTCGAAGGCAGAGCACGTCCACAGAGAGTTGTACATATCACTGTTGTTCGTTTTGCATGAGTACTTTAGCATCTGCAAATTAAACCGCAAATAAACCGTACTATACTCGCATATACACCACTATATTTCACCCCCTCTCCCAGTTCGTTTACCTCGATTATCTCCCCGGCGATAATTCTCTTGATAAAGTGAACAGCGAATTGAACTTCAACCCTTAAATTAAATATTCCTTTTTACGTTGTATGGATTATTGGTG